GACAAAGGCGCCGCCTTCCCCATCTGCATTTTCTCCACTTTTCTGCCATGCTGTTTTTGCCATCACCAATGCGGGCTCTATGCACAGGAGAGCCTTTTCATCCGTATCTGGGAGGCCGCCAGAAGCAGCGCTGCATCCAGGCGTTTGGGCAGCGGTAGCGGCAGCGCTCCCACCTGTTCGTGTTCTCCCGCCGGGAACTGGACCCACCTCTTCCATGTAGACCCGGCTCTCTGGCGAGCGGAAGTCGAGATCGATGAAGAGCCAAGTTCGCGCCAGGTCGGCGGCGATTCTGTTCAACTCTTGTCTTATGAATTCCGCCAACTGCGCTTCGCTGCGCCAGCACGAGCCGGTTGAACCTTGGGAGGCCAGCGCGTTGCCGAGCCGGTGCCGCACCTTCTCGAACAATGCGAGGCCGGCCATCTCCTTTTTGACAGTTGTACTTGTGTTCTCCTCGTCTGTGGCAGTTGTATTCGCCTCCAGCAGCAACCGGGGAAAAAGGTGTCTTACTACATGGTCCGCGATGAGGGGACAGTGCGTATGCCACGGCGAATCAGAGGACGCCCAGCTCTGCCACTGCTTTGCCACAAATGGCCTCAGCCGCGTCTCGAAGTTCGTGCTGTTTAGCCGCTTGTCCTGCGTGAAATACCTAGTGCGGATCTTCGTCACGTGTTGGATAAAAAACGGATGGGCCTCAGAAGCGCCTGTTCTTGTGGCTGGTTGTGGTTTTTCAACGCGACGAGTGTCTTGCCATGGCGCGGTGCTTTGCCGAGTGTCTTCACCTTGTTTTTGAGCTTGACCTTGATGCCCTGGTTCTTGAACCTGATGAACTTGCTCTTGAGCCTGATGACCTTGTTGAGCTTGAGCTGCTTTCTTCGAAGCCGCATCGATCTGCTGAAGGATCGAGTGCCTTAGCTGGGAGGCTTCTGAGAGTCGGCGAACCGCGAAGTCGCGGTCCCAGGCTCGGTGCTGCTTCCACTCATGCACCGGCGTCTCGCCGACCTGCTTGGAGTGATCGGAGCTCAGGGCCACGACGGGGGCCCAGTCGAGCTCCGCGAAGAAATCATCACGAAACAGCTCCACCATCATTTGGTACACATCTGCCGCCACACGACTGTCAATGCCCAAAAACGACGAGCCACCTTCTCCAGATGCCGCAGCGAGCAGATCCGTCGTTCGTTGGGGAATGTGAGCCACGTCGGCTGAAAAACGCGAATCCAAGGCGAGAAAACGGATTTTGGCGGGCTCTGCAACTGTCGTGGCGGAGGGTGCGGGGGCATTGGGTTCGGACGCAGCGTCAGCAGGGACTGGCGCAGTCGCTGCGGCAGAAAAATCTGCGGCAGAACCCGCACCGGAAGCTGCGCCAGCACTGGCGCACGCGCCATCGGACGGAGCACCATCCCCCGCGTCGCTTCCGTGAGTTTCTCCTGCCGCGCTAGCAATAGGCGATCGCCAGAGGGTAGCAGCAGCAGAGGCAGCCATGGAAGCAGCAGAAGATGCGGCGTGACTACCAAAACCAAGTACATGAGAAAAAGCGCTGTCATTTGTGGCAGACCTTGGACCTTGGATCTTGCGCGTCTCTGGCAGGTTGAAGCCCAAGTTGAGCAGAGTTTGCGCGTGAACCAACAGGGTCCTCACGTGGGTTTCGCGGTCGCGCTGTGCTTGCTTCAGCAGAAAGAGGACCGGCGCGAGATGCTTGTCCACTACTTCGCGTTCCGAAGCCTGCTTCAGGGCACGATGCGGATCCGCTCCAGCACCAGTGGTTCTCGGTGTGCGGCCACGGGCCGCGAGAACTTTGCGTTGTTTCTCCACGATGTCCGCGCGAACCAGCGCGAGCTTTTTGCGCAATGCGTTCTGCGTTGCGGTCGACGCGGCCTCCGCCAGCACCAACTCCTTCAGGAAAAGCATCTTCTTCACGATGACGCCAGTCACCCTCTCGTAAGTTTCGGAGTCCATCAACTTCTCAATGTCATAAGTGCAAGGAGGACCAGCAGGAGAGGTGTCTGGGCCTTCGGCTTCCGTGCCCTTCTGCGCGCCGGCATTTCTGCACGCCAAATCTGACGGCAAGGAGAGAGGCGTCAAGCCTTTGAGGCTGCAGCGTGACGGATCATCGTCTGAGGATTCACAAGAGCCCAGTCCGTAAAGCTGACTCAGAGTCCCGCTTTGCGCGGCCAGTGCGCGATCGATATTGAGCAAGAGTTGCCGTTTCTCTTTATCGAGGCGAAAATCCTCCACCATTTGAGGTTCGGCAATTTCCTCAAAATGTTGACCGGGGATTGGCGTGTTGTCTTCTTGTTTCCTCTGTGGCTCCTCCGAAGCAGCAGCCGATGCAGCACTTGGCCCCGCCGAAGCTGCAGTAGCTGCATCTCCTCCATCCGCCGAAGCTGCAGTAGCTGCATCACCTGCACCTGAAACCTCCTCAGCTCGACGTTCACCATTGGCTTTTTCCTTCCTAATCGTAAGAACTCTTCGTTTGTGCAGTTTCTTCAGCTCTTCGTATCCTGCGTCGAGCACTTCAGCAAGTTTGAAAAATCCTCCCCCCAAAAGGTTCGTCGCCAGCCCGTTTCGCTGATCGATGCTCGGTCCCGCCGCAAGCGCAACCATCTGCGCATCGAGGAAGGCCGGGCTCTGCAGAATGCGCTCAATCAGGTCCAATTGTCCCTTGCCGGAGTCGACGGAGGTGGCAGGAATCGATGGAGACGGATTTGGACTCGGCGAAGTTGCACCGGGCGAGGAACTACCCGATGCCCCACTTGCAGTTCCCGCCCCACGTGTCTTTGGTTCTGTTTTTGTTTGGAAGTTTTGAATTTCCTGAAGGCCGCCGCGCACACGGAAGTAGGCCAAAGCCTCGTTTGTCGCCAAAGCTACGAGGTTCGAGTTGCTGGAGCCCGGGTGCTCAATCGATTTTGTGCTCTCCAGCCGTTGGAAAGAGGGAAGAAGCCAGCGCAAAGCCTCCGGGCCGTCATCTTCTGCGCTTCCCTCCGACAGTATTGCGCCAACCACGCCGGCCGAGGACATCGTCGTGATCGCGCACTGGGACTGCATCTCACGACTCTCGTGGGCTCCGAAGGTATCTCGCAGTCGCAAGAGAGCTTGCCTTTCCTCTCCTTGGCCTACACCATGAGCCGCGGCGCCAGAAATGTTTTTCCGTATATTGTCCAGTGCACCAAACGATTTTCCGCGCTCCTCCATCAGGCCGAAAAATTGGCCCAATAGCGACGCTGCAGTGCCCGAATTGGGTTGCCGCTTGGTGACCTCTTCACGTTCTTGCTGCTTGGGACCCAACACTTTTGGAGCGATATTAGTTGGTCTCAACACCTCTTCGGCACCGGCAATTATCGCTGCTGAATGAACACTGGGACTGCCCAATCCCGGTGATGAAGAACCACTGGCCGACCCGCCAGGAGGCACTTCTTGTACTAGTACATCCTGGACTGGTGCACCAGTACCTAAGCCAGTATCCGGCGCGACAGGGTCAGGAGCGGAAGAGACGCATGGTGCTGAGCCTTCATCACGCACCGCGCCTGGAAGCGGAAGGGAAGCAGTGGCGACATGGGATGCCACTTGCGCGACGAGAAGAACGAGATATCGAGTCATTCTAAAAAGGGTTGTACTTGAAAGAAAACAGGAAAAATATATGGATACAAATAGTACATGTACAAGTAGATACAACAGGCAGGCAACGCCGGAATACAAATACTAGGTCCTCGATTAGGCAGAAGAAGTCGTAGTTATCATTAACAATAAATCGGATTGAACAAAGAAAACGACAACGAGGAAACGAGGAAATAAAGGTAGGCTATCTTATATTACGGATTGCCGGGCAGGGATTGGAGGATTTAGCTTTTAGTTACAATGATTAGAGGAGTTCACTTGCCTACACTCAACAAGAATCAAGGCGCTCAACAAGAATCAAGGAAAATGGCTCAAAATGAAGCGTCTTGTTCTTGTCCAAATAGCGGCATATTAAATCAAGAGCGTTGTTGCAGGTTCATTCATTTACCTGGTCTTGAGGTATCTTTTGACGTAGATCAAAAGGTCTTGCAATCATGTACAGATTAATTTTACTTTCAAAAGACGTTATTGCTATCTCCCTTTATTTATTCTTTGATCTACTTCTTGCTTCTTCATTCATTCACGCCTTTTTTTTGGTGCCTGGGTCTACTTCTACAATTTCCTGCAATACCAATAGTTCCTCCTTCTAGTAACTATATGCGTCTTCTTGTCCTTCTAGTGCCTATAAGTGTCACGTCGAACTCTTGGATGAAGATGAAGGTGCAAAGACACGAAAATGCGTCATTTTTCTTAAGGAAGGAAAATGCCATAAGGAGTTTCGAAATGAATCTCCAATGAAAACTAGGGACTATTTGAGTAGATAAGTCTTACAGGTCTTATAACGATTGATAAGGTCAAAAAAAATGAAAATTTCTCTAGCGATTTCTTTGCAATGAAAGCGAAAGCGTTCTTAGTTTGTTGTCTCTGCAGATGATGAATGAATGGTTTTGAAATATATATTTATATATACACAGTAGTCGAATGTTGAAGATGAGAAGGATTTCTAGGTCTTTCGCTTTTCGTGGATCAGGAGGATCTTCTTCATTCTTGACATCTGGCGGGCATTCTCTACTGCCGCTGGATCTTCTGGAGATTTCCATGATCACTTCTACTTCTTCACTTACTTCTGGAACCTTTTCCATGGTCATCGCTTAGATCTTGTGCTGCATGCACCACTTTCTTAGTTAGATCCTGTGCTGCATGCACCACTTAGTTAGATCCTGTGCTGCATGCACCACTTAGTTAGATCCTGTGCCATGCACCACTTAGTTAGATCCTGTGCTGCATGCACCACTTACACTTAGTTAGATCCTGTGCTGCCTGCGCCTCTCGTCCTTCTAGATCTTGTGCATGCACCACTCTTATTTGGTTGTATCCAGTACCCTTCTCGTCCGCGATTCGAGTTTCTCCTGAAGAGAGTCAGTCAGTTCGTTGTACAAATGAGGAGGGGCAGGGGAACGAAAGATGCAGCTGCTTAATATGTGCATTGACTATTTGTTTATGATTGATGCTGTTTTTTTGCGTTTTCGGTTTTGCTGGGTAATCGCAATCTTCATTCAATGCTTTCGCCGGTGCCCTGGAGAGCAGCGATTGGCATTGCCGCAGTGGAGCTAGTACAGCGCTCTGTGAAACGAAAGTTTCACAAGGGTCTTTCTAGTAAGGTTCGCAAAATGCATAAATGTAATCAACTGAAGAGAAAGCTGTATCCTTGTATGAGCGTCTTCAAAAAAGCATGTGATTCCAAAAATTGTATGTGTGCCGCGCGTCCTAGGAAAGTGTCTAGAGACTGTGTAGAAAAAGCAAAATTGACGTCAACCCTATAAAGACGTGTTCTTGAAGCAGGTGTTGATGTCGATGTCGACGCGACTATTTTATGAAGCAAACTGTTGGCCATTTCTGTCACTATTGCATCTTTGCTTCCGGTACTATCACTGGTACTGCTGCCTCTACCAGTATTTGATCCTATCGCACCTTTCCCTGCTTGACCCCCAGCATCACCAGCTGTATCAATCACAGTCCGCCTTCCCTCCTCAAATGAAACACGATCATCACCAGCCACCTCGATTCGTGCCGACTCGTATGGAGCATAGGAATCTTGGAAACTCGAAACCAGAACTACGCGGGCAAACAGATGCAACAGATTTCGACTCGGGTCGCATGCTAGTCTGTAGAGCAAGGTGTTTCGTCTTGGATCCTCTGGTTCCGTTGGTGATGCTTTGAATGTGGTTGTACTAGAGCCTCTTGCAGTTGTAACTTGATTTGATTGCTGCTCCTGCGTGGCCGGTTCTTGTTGATCATCTTCCTTTCCAAAACCCACACCACGACCAATTAATATAGCACTACTTTCAACAGCTGCAACGGTGTCAGTCATAGCTAACTCATCAAGACTCGCGCATTGTCGCATCCTATTCAGCACCCACATCCCAGTCTTCACGAGTGGCGATACGTTACGCTGGTAGCCAAGATGCGGCGACGATAGCGTCATAAAAAGGCCAAGGCGCGCTTGGAGGCTGGAGGACTCCGATTAGGGGTTGCGATTGCCGATTGGAAGGAGAGGGAGACAAGTTTAGACGCATCTTATTTCATCTAAAGTTTCTTGCATCTTTACAAGCCCATGGATTCTTCCAAATTAATAATTGAGTGAGGACAACAACGAGAACGACGATTCAATAACCATAAAAGTGAGCCAGACATGCGCGCACAACCAAGCCTCCAAGACTGTGTGCTATGAAGCTTATGCGTCGAAGGGTACTAGGTCTAGACACCTCGCCTTTTGATGTGTCACTCGAAACATCGATGTTCCATTCCTCTAAAAACTGCGCAACTTCATCAGCCAAGCGTCGGCCCATCACCTCAATAGACTCCTCCGTCAAGTCCTCATTTGCAGAAGAGCATAGAAATGCAGCATCAGGAAAATGAACTGCTAAGAGATTTCGTATCAGTCGTAGGTCCAAAGAATTGCCTTGAAAGCCGTGAACTAGAACAAAGAGATGGAGGCCACTAGAAGTGGTTTCGTTCAAGGTTCCCTTCGTCAAAGAGGAGCCGCATGAGCAAGGTATCATGTCAGCCATCTCGCCTTCGCTCTTCAAGCACATATCCTGCAGCTGCCGTTCCGTGAGATTGTTGTAGAGATGTTCTGTCATAGGGTTGAACTTGTTCCTGTTGTTGACCAGTGCCGCTGGAGCAGCAATAGTGCTGCTTCGTGTGGGGTTGAAGATACCTTGACTCACTGAGACGACCTCTTGATCTTGTTGTCTTGGTATAGTACTCGCTATCTTCTCAGCATCGCTAAGCTCTTGTCCGATTTCTACTTGTCGTAAACCTCCGTCTTTCGGTTTCAGACCGCCTCCTTTACTATTTTGTCCTACAATGCCAGTGCTCGAACAAGTTGTCTCCTGTTCCACTAGCGAAGCCGATGAGGACGATGACGCGCTTCTCAAATCTGACGAGGCTAGCATTTTCGTGTCGAGGCGTGTTAGCTCTTCCTCGTTCATAGAGGGGGTGCGCGTTCGTAGACTTTTCTGCACCGGACGAAGACTCGAGGAAAGCTCTTCGGGCGTTAGATTTGGAGGAAAATCGTCTATAGGTATAGGGCGCAATTTATTACAAACTAGCACCTCCAATGAATAGACTTTTACTGCTCCATGGTTGTTGGTGCCCTGTCCCTGCATCAAATGATTATGAAAAGACAACCATCGGAGATCTTGGTGATCCTGAATTTCACAATTCCATCCATAATGTCCCCACCACGCTGATGTTGTCCTCGAAATCTAGCAGACCTATAGCAGAAAAAGCTCCTTCAAGATCTACCTTTAGCATCCCAGCCGCGTCTTGATCTTGATGTTGCCTCTCCCTTTCTGCAGCTTGGTTACGATCATATCTTGCTTGGAGAATTTGCTTCACGTCCTCCGATCGCAGGTACTTTTGCACAAAGACAACTGGTTGCAATGTATCGCGAGAAATATTAGGGTTGTTAGGTTCTGGTTGAGTTGCCGGAAGCGCTTGCCTACCAGCAGCTGCATCATCAGCCTCTCTCGATTTGGCATTGTCCCCTTGTCGTGTAGAAGCCCTTGATGAAAAACTGTTCCCTGCGAAAGCTGTTGCACCACCAGCCAGGTGATTCGCCGGACATTTTTCTGCTTCCTGATTTTGCCTCTCACCCGAACTGAAGGCCCTCTGTGCACCCTCAGGTGCTAGGAGACTATTGTTGGGAGAAAAGAATAAGTTCTTTATGCTAGTACTATTGCTCTGCCTCTGCCCAGCGGACTGCCTTCTAGTCTCTCCAGGACTTCGTGGAGAGTCTTCGCTGGACTTCTTCTTCGTTGGAGGTGAAGACACAGGTTCTTGAGAGGACCACAAGTAGGATACAGCACACGATTGCACTTCCAATCTTAGGCGATTCGCTATCTCAGTATTTCGTTCTCCCATTCCGTCAATACTGCAGCTGGAGGATGTTCTTCTGCCACTTTCATGTTGATTCTGCTTGTCTGACGTCATCATCTTCATGTCAAACACTTGGCGCACGCTTTTTTGTCTTGCTCGTTTTTGTTCGCGTATTTCGTAGGCGATCCTGCAGAGCATGCTCATCTGCTGCACGCAGTACGGGAGCATCGTGCAATACTGCTGCCAGAGGAGTAAGTGGTCTCTTGCTTGCATTGAAATTAGGAGAGGATAAGAGGAAACGAAGGTGGAATGAGTGTCATCTCTGCATACCAGCCTAGAGCACCTTGTCATGTGTGTGTCCCTGTCGTGGTGCAACATAACCACCTTCTAAGAGTAGACATTATTACAAGTTATGGAATTCACCAACCTAGAGTATCTACATAGAGTGCCAATTATACATTTGTTCATGAGAGCACACCCACTACATTAAGAATTGTCATAAAGTAACATCAGCCCCACTCGACGCAGAGCTCGTGGAAGAATCTTTATCCAGCATTGCCCTCTGCTTTGCCAAAACAGACAGCATCACCTTCCCTAGCGGATACTGTGAAGGCATGGAAAGAAGCGAAGTACGCACAAAGCGCTCCAGCCAAGCTTGTAAGGTGGATTGCCATTTATTCCTTTGAGGATTAGACGGGTTCCTAAAGGTTCCTAAAAGAAAGTCTCTATTCAGTCGGTTTCCATAGTATAACAAATGGAAATATTTGATTTATTGTTATATGTATAAGATATAGAACAAGAAGGTTTTCGGACGACGTAATAGTAATACCTGGTGTATGTAAAAAGTAGTTATTCCTAAGAACCTGAGCGGTCCGCCATAGGTTGGCTTCTGCTGCAGTATCCAGAGGTACAACTCTCTGTTCCTGCCGAAAGGCAAGTCCCGCACAAGCATGTACACAGACAGAAGCGACACTAAAATGCGCATCGTCGAACTCCAAGGGTAAGTAGTCGCCGATCGGTGAATAGGACGATGGAGAACTACCTGGAGGCGCAATATTCGTAGTTCTCGGAGGAAGAGCCACGCGAACGCGGGTCGTCGATACTTTACGGAAGGTCAGCTGTGGTGCCGCCCGTGAGCTGTTGGCGTTGCAGTTGGTATTGTCTTTACCATTACTGGATCCAGAACAAGCTCCTGCAATTGCTCCAGAAGCTGCAAAGGCCTCAGCGTGTCTAGAAACGAATCGGTCAGCACCTCCGAAATTCCGTAGGTCGCAGAAATATAGGTCTACAGTCACCAGGCATGTAGTTGGTGTTTTGACACAAGTTGAATTCGCATGAGTGGTCGTATCACAATCTTCACCAGTCATTAATATGGGTCGCCACAATCGAAATACGCACACCTCGTTCAACCTCACTTCTTCCTCACAGTAACGAACTAGGAATGTTCGAGAGACGAAGCCTGTACGTGTCTTCTCATCTATGCGAGCCGGTCGCAACCAATGCATATCTGGCCGTGGAGCTTTCTTCGACGCTTTTTGAAGATTCCGGCTATTCACAGCACTGCCACCAATATGGTGAACAGCGACTGGTGTTCCTTCTGGCTCGGAGTCCTCTATGACACCATTTGTCTTACTTATTGTTGAAGATGTGGCCGTCTTGTCAACAAAAGGAGTACTCCTCGAATCACCAAGATTCCTTTCTGCAGCAGGCGTTTTCTTGGAGGTGCTCAACATCCCTAGATGCAAGAGTTCATCCGGTATCGGAGAAGTTCTCGACGTCCTGGACACTTCTAGAGGCTTTTTATCGGGTGACGATAAACCGCCGTCGTCTGTTTTTAGAGCTCACCCTAGTACTCCGTCTCGAGATGCATCCGACCTAGGCGCCGTTATTTCCCCCTAAAAAACAGACTTTCTCAGGATGTTGTCTTTCAAAAAGATTTTGGATTAATAGGGGAAGCCTTGAAGCCTTAAGTCTGGATCTTTTTTGGCGGGTTTTTTCGGGGACACCGAATGTGAAAGACCAGCATTTTCCCAACCATTCTCTCTGCTACTCTGATGTCGATTCAGTGCGGAAAAGTGCGTAGTACAGCTCGCCCCCTCGATGTGCACGGAGAGGTAGTAGAGACCTTGCTGGAAGAGATCGATGTTGCGAAAGTTCTCGAGGTGAACCGCAATCTCAATGGCTTCTTCGAGAACGGAAGACATAATTTCTTTGCTTCGGATAAATAAGGTCGTGTGGAGGTTGGTTCTCCTATCTTGGCTACTATCATGACCATGAGTCACGTTCATCGGACCTAATATATATTTCACTTTTCCACCAGTTGGAACTACATATTCGGCTTTCTTTGTACTTGAAGGGCTGCTCATCTCTCTACTTGATTGTTTTCGCACCGAAAAAACCGAACAAAGAAGGAAGATGTGGTAGAGGTAGACCTAGAAGTAAGTTAGTCTTCAGTATTAGTAGAAGACTTTCCTGGGGAAACGGAACGCGGGCTAAGGACGAGCAGAGGGAGAGGCCACATCAAGCCTCATCCTATCACATTTTTTTTCACTCTATACGACATGATTGAAGACATCAAGCTTCAGACTAGAAAGTGACAACTCTCAATCCTCCCGCTACTTGCATTTCGCTCAATTCTACTCAAAAACAGTGTTGATTGCAGCATTATCACGTTCACGTTCTTCGAGAAGTTGTATTAGACAGATTCTTGGAGCGTCAAAAACATACAGTCGTGCACGTGCACATTCCAGCATCATAACAGCAATGCCAGTACTCGTAGTGGTCTCAGTGATGTAACGCTTTGGATCTTCTGCTTCTCGAATAGGAAGTATGCCTTTGATGGCAGAGGATGAAGGAAGTGAGAGTGCTTGTTTCGCTTTCGGTTGAGGCCTAACTGCTAGGAACAAAAAAATCTCTGTTGTCATGCTAGTGCTCCTGCTCCTGTACGGGTACCCTATCAATGGTTGCCACTAGAATCCGCAAAAATTTGAAAAAATAGTTGACTCCGGCTCCGCCATAATAACATTGGCGCACTACCGCTTTGGTCTGCAATCTTGACAGTACAAGTTTCACTTCTTGAAGTGAAGATTTTGCCTTGTTCTCACAGCCCCCAATCTTCCCCAACCTTGTTGCGTTTGAAGAATTCTGATTTTGCCTGTTTTTCATCCATTTCTCCAACATGAAGAGCTGCGCTGGATCGAAGCCGCTTGTAGAGTTGCTTATCTGCCTTAAGATTAGCGCTCTCCGCAATTTCATGCTCCAGCAAGCTGCATCCTTGAAAAGTATGGCAGAGTACCGCGGCCATACGCTTCAAGGATGCAGTCAAAGATGCTGCATTAGCATTAATAGCTACTGTAGCTTAATAAGAAACAACGTGCGTTTTGTCGCATCCATGCGACGCACCATTTCCCAACAGAAATAAGGCGACGGACCATCACGAAAGCGATCACTTCCTGCCACCCACTTGTTACATTAGAGAGATCTTAAGCCAGGTTTTTAGGTATCTACAGGTTGCTGTTCGTTTTTAGGAGGTTGAGGTAGGTGTATGTTAACTAGAAAGGCGAGCAAAAAACTAATAGATCAAAAATGAAACATTATCCTGCATTAAGCAGAGTTGCAGCACCTACTGCTCCTGCGTTCATCTTCAGGAATGTAGAACTAGGATTCCCTTGATAAATGCAGCCCTGGCCTTAACGAAAATGTGTTCTTGCAAACTCTGGGAAATCAGGAAGGTTACTGTCGGGATCGACGTAGAGAGCCAACCACAAGACTCTGTCTACATTAGCTCTGCCATTATATGACTCCATGTCGCCTGCAATCTCTCTTGGCTTTGGATGTGTTTTTTCCAACCACTCTTCCGCAGTGTCTGCAATCTTTTGCATTTTTTGCGCCTCTTGTTCTACCAACGCTGCATCGTACGCGGGGACATGATTCTCAACGTCCTCCTCAACATTTTCATTGTATCGCTCAAGAAAATCAAAATCCTTAGAAGAAGTTGCTGTTGTTGTCGTTCTCCCTGCATTTCTGATCTCCTCCAACTTTTTATCCCACTGTTTGCTTGTGATCTTGTGGAGTGTTTTTTTTACGTCGTGCTTCAACGCAAAATCTATGTACATCGCGGACGCCCACTTGTGAAAAAGGTGTGTAATAGGTTCAGCTTCCAAGATCCAGTCTGGTAGTCTATCGCTCAGCAACAGATTCATGTCAAAAAGCTGGCGACCGGTGGCCCCGTCGGCGATGGCTTTTACGATTTGGTTGCGAACGGGTTTTCGTTCCTCGCGTTCCAAGGCCTCTTTGAATCCGGAAATTTGCAGCAGAGAGAGCAGCACATTTATGTTGCATTTTTTCATTTCGGTTTGCTGGGATAGATTCGCAGTAGTTGTGCCAGCCCACTCGCCCAGTCGTTTGGCGTCTTCTAGTCGATCTAACTCGGAAAGCGCACGTTCTACCAAGCGTCGACTTTTGGACGAAAGCTCATCATCACCTGTGCTTGATGATGCCTGGAGACGTTGCCACAGGCTGTCCAGAATGTCAACGCTACAGCCGCTTCGCCATTTTGCTTCATCTGCGAAAGCCTTGTCAGCTTGGTTGAGCGCCTCAATCGCAGAAGGTTTGAGAAAGCCAGAAGGAATAACGTTCTTGTTCAGAACTTCATCTAGTGTTCGTTGCTTTGCGCTCATGTCCTCAGTACTTCTGCCCGATTCGTGTTGGAGGTCATCTCCGCGTGAACCAAGTCCCATGGGGGAAGCACACTGGACCACGCGGAAGCTGTAGAACAACAGCAAAAGCGATGTTGTTGGGATCACGATCATGTTGCTGCGTCGTGCTAGCGCCATCTTCTTCCTATTTTCGATTCCGATGAGAGGACTCATCAAGAATAACAAGAATCACCAGAATGTTGTCTGTTGTAGATGTAAAATATATCCAAGAGACACGACGAAGCGACTGGAAGTTCAGGAATCCAGTTCATTCCTTATAATTCTCATGTTCCATTACTACAAAGATCCAGATGTTCATTCCGGATTTCTTCATCTACTATGTATTGTTCATCGTTTAAAAGCTGTGACTAGCTGGATCACATGGAGCTCAAATGCGGGTAACAATGATACTATATGATTGTAGAGAAAGGAGAATTTGATTGGCGCACTGATCTCCTTTTCCACGACCCTACTAGCACTGCTAACTCTTTCGAAGCAGCTCGAAAGGGATTTATGCCTCTCGCTCTAGTTGCTGCTGGCATTTGCTGGCTGAAGAAGGGCCAGGAAGTGATCGACTTCTGGGAGTTCTTTTCTGATTCCATCAGAAGGAGCTTTCTGCAACAGCTGCTCTAAGAACTGTAGTCTTTGAAACGACAGAAACACAAGAGAGACGAACAGCTTTTCGTCTAGCTCTGCCTCCACCCGGCCTCAGAGAAGCGGCGCTTTCCTCTTCTTCTTATTTTTTTGCTTCATATTTTTTTTGAAAATGTCAAGAGTTGGAGCCTCAACTTCCCTTGCGTCTACCCTCTCACCCACGACCTTCTTTTTTCCCTTCTTTTTCTATGTTGTTATATGTTCCTTCATCTACCTAATTATGCACTACTCTACTTCTCAGTTCCTTTTTTAGATCGGCTCTAAGTCAAACTCTCGAAGATCTTTGAAGAACCTTGCTTTTTGCCTAGTTGCCATAGCCATCTATATTGCCGGCGCGAAATACAAACTTAGACAGCAACTCCCGCGCTAGACTTCCCGCCGCTAGAAGTATACCAAGGACGAGGAGATTTCTCGCCTCCACTGCCTGCCATTAGCAGCATCAGCTACACGCATATCTCGCTCTAAAATGTATGTCGTTACGTTTCGGCACATTTGAGATGACTCTCATGTCATCTGCACCTACGTTTCTTATTCCAACTGTTTCTTCGTACGAACCTACTTATGCTTATGTTTATGGCACGATTTTGACTTCGCCTTATCTATGTATATCTTACAAGCTTTTATGAGTCACTATTGTATCTGCTATAGAAGTCACCCACAGGGTTGTCCTAGTGCGACTTTTGAGCAACATTTCGAACTCATTTCCCTCCTCTTACGCGGGAGAGTTCAACATCACTCTATTATCTAGTGTTGGATAGGATAGGAGGTGGTTCGCCGTCCACAGTGTGACCTGCATCATCGAGCGAACATTTGCAGCCACAGAAGGACTACCAACTTTCATTTACTCGGCAAGTTCCCAGGTCTTCCTACAACAACGTCTTCTATAGCGTCAGAACAACTGAAGCTGCAGAGGGTAACGTTGACAAATATACTTTCTTTTAAACCTAAATCTAGAAAAATCAGTAAAAGATAGTGACCCATCCCTAAGATGATCTTACTTAATCTTAGACTAAGATCGATGCCCTACTTAATCTGCACAATACAGAGCAATGCAGTTAATCTTGCACAAAGTTCAGTGCAGACTGCCTTATGGGCGTCACAGATGGCATACACGTTGGATCTCACGCAAAGATTGGAATAGCGAAGCAGTACGGTTACGTATGTTGTGGAAAGTTACAACTTAACAAGAATTAGCCCTAAACGAGAGACTTAGACAACGAGCCCCAACTGCATCCGTTAAAACAGCTAAGACTTTAGTAAACAGCGCGCTTAGGTGTGACGGGACAGCCTTTTACTTTATTTACGCAAGCGGAACAACTTAACTACACGACCCCGCGCCTCACAACGCAAGGCTTCAGTTAAACAAACTTACCGTAACAAACTTTTTTTTTGTTATTAAAATAAACGAGAAAACAACCACTGAAGGCGACCTTTGCCTTTTTTATTTTTTCAGCTTAGCCTGCTTATGCAATTAAGTAATCTCGCACAAGTGAGTCCTAATAAATAAGTCCACCCTTTTCATCATCGAAACCCTCGTTCTTGCTGGCGACGTTCATCATTGAGTACTTGATGATGAACACCATGGAGCAACTTTCAAACTCAGAGAGACTCCAATATCTTCTAGAGAGCCACGTCAGAAATAGAGACCCAGCACTCAAAATACCCAATCCCAAAGAACTACATTTTGCTCAATGAGTGTGACATAGTCCATATTATACGAAAAAAGCTTCTGGCGCACTTCAGCTAACACTGTGCTTGCTGTGTTTTTCAACCAACAAACTCCAGATGAATCGTAAATATATAAAACTCAAAGAAAAAGTAGAAGCCTGCAACTAAAAGTAAAATTGTAAACTATAGTAACCATCTCCAGTAATATCATAATAAATAAATAAACTACGTCATCAATTTGCTCGGGATGTTGAGCTGATTTTTGAAGTACGCGCATCATGATACGAAGGCTGCTTGTCAGCAGGTAGTGTCTTGAAGATGTGTAAGAATATCCCAACGAGAACGAACTGTGATCCAAATAAGTAATAAAAAGCATACTGCTCCTGCATCACCCGCTCACAGGTTTGGAAATGAACAGTTACAGTATACACAGATGCCACAAAAAAATGCGGGAAGTTCATGGCTGTAGCTTTTTCCGAATTTTCGGCGGACCATCTTGCGAGGCTGTCTGCTTGTCTGTCTACCGCGTGCCGAGAGCGCCAACTGTAGTTCTAACGCCAGACATGTAAATTATCAATACAACTACAAGTAAAACAGCATCATATAGATATAATAGATCACGAGCTTACATAAGGTTATTGCAATTAATACAACATAAGCTTAATCAAGTCAAAGTCTCTTGGTAAGTAGTGATGTAGGCTATTCAGTACAGCAGCGAACTAATGTAGTCATGCTGTAGCTATGGCCCCTGTAGTTGCAACTCTACAGCAGTTGCCTAAGACGCGGCATTACATAGAATTTGTGTGAACGGAATATGCAGAAAAATGGCATACAGAGGCACCACGAGCGAGCAGCACGGAGATGTCTCTAAGTAATGTATCGAGAGAGGAAGAACCTGTCTGAAGAGAAGAGAAGTTTTCCGGTCTGTCCAAGGCCTCTGAGCAGAGTAGGAGCAAACCAGAATGGAGCGAGTGTTCTTGTGTCTGGTGTAATATCATCACCCACCTTCTTGTGGTAGTGCTTCAACTTCTAAAAGGCTCGTTTCCCAGAATCCTTCCTCGTTCTTGATTGATTGATTGATTGACGTACCCACTCGCGGAGTGTTTCATCTCTAATTAGTTGCACGACTGTCCTCTATTTCTTCTTTCCTTTGTTGCATCTGTTTTCGTGCTTCCTCGTTAAATGTCAAGCCTTTGCTTTCTGGTCTCTGCATCAGCGTCGTTATCTTCTCAGCAAATTCAAGTTTCCACTTTTTGCCGTTCGTCACCCTTCTTCCTTCTTGCACCATAAAGTTCGAGACGTAAAAGTCTACTGGTACCCTGAGGAAAAAAGCTTGACGGTTGCGAGTTGCTGGTAGAGTCGCTGGGCTTCCAAATATTCAGCACGAAGTTCAAGCGCCCAGGACGGGCCTCTTGCAGTACTAGACGAGGGCGGACTAGTTCCCGCTGACAGCGACAGGGGCTCTGGTTTCCTCTCTGCTGTCCACCAAGAATGGCCCAACGCTGTCTCTAGCAGAATTTCTGCAGCTTCCAGAGCATTCTTCGCATGATCATCTAGTTGGCCATTCCTCGAAAACGACGGGAAGCTATCAGCTTCCCAGTCGCTGTCGCCGCTCTCCTCATCGTCCGGTGAGTCTGTCGAACGCGGCGCGCTGGCTTCTCGTGTTCCTTGAGATCCAGCGGCCAGCGAGCTAGCCCCTTCTCGTGCTTCTTGACCTTCATCGGAGGACACGGTGGAGATGCTGTGTGCGCGACGGTCCATATAACGACTCATTTTCCCTTGTACTTTACTCAGCTCTTGCAAGGTCTCTGTGCGGATTCGTGTGACAAGCGTCAGAACTAATGCCTGAAAAGCAGCACGACTCGCTGAATCCGCCGCATCCTGGTGGTCCGCAAGCGCTGCCTCAGCAGAACCTGTAGTAGGGCTCTTGCTTGCTGCTCCTCCATCGAACGGCACGAGAGCGCTGCCAGGTACTGTAGGCTTGGCGAGTATTTTGAAGACATGCTCAGCAAGACCGCTCTCGCCGTTGCCTTCCTCTTGTGCCCAGCTGGTCATCGCACGCCGCAGACTTGGCACTTCCCGAAAAAGCACTTGCCCCAAGTTGACGCGCACCCACCCGCGTGCAGATGTTGCTCCGCCACAAGATGTAGGGCCACGGCCAGCGCCGGCTCCTCTGTTTGGTTCTATTGGTTCTCCCCCCTCTTGTTGCCGTCGACAGCTATCTTGTCCGCTTAGTTCTTTGGCAAATGAAGTTGCAGAGACTTCTGGAGAAGCGACGTCGCGCTCCTCGGGGTCGTGAGATGCCAATGGACGTCCAGACCACGCCAGAAGCCCACCACCGACACCCCGCAATCGCTGTAGTGCTTCAAGAATGCGGTCAGGCAGATGGTCCTCGAGGTCTGCAACTAGCGCTTGCGAAAATGCTTCGAGCGCCTGACTAATATCATGCCAAGAACAGTCCACCTCACCTGTCTCAAGGTTGCGGCTGCAGTCAACATTAAATATCTGCTGGATCGCCACTCGCGCGTTGACTTCTGGGTCGAAATCTGAGCGACCCTCTCCATTGCTATGGCCGACCTGGAGTCTAGAGGGAAACGAGCGCACGACCAGCGAATGGCGCCGCTCTAAAATGTCCTCGATAACCTCCTGCACTTCTCGGTCCTGAAACAAAAGTCCAGGCGCGAAGACAACTAAACCACGCAACATGTCCTCCAATCTTTCCGAAGCTTCCTCATCTTCTCGCGCTTCATCCGTTTCGCCGTCCTCGTTGATCTCGCCTCTAGGGGGGTCTTGTTGTAGGACGTCCTGTGAGGGTTCTCCTTCTACTTGATCCGCGAGGCAGAACTCTGACATGCTACATCGTTCAAGCTGTGGGAGTCTTTGTCGAGTAAAGCGGCGCTGCACCTGTGCACTCTCGGCGGACGCGGTTACCAAAGCGTTGACCACGTCATCTTCGTCCTTGGATCTCTGTGGCGCGGCCAGTCCTCCACAGAGCGGGCAGCTGCGTCTGCTAAGCCCACATCGCAGCAGCCTCTCGTGTCGTCGCATTTCGTTTGCAGCCAAAAGCTGACGCTCTTTTTCTACTCTATCGCTTTCTCCTGGCCAAGATAATGCATCGGAAGAGGTTTCTGATCCTGATGAATGATTCTCGTCCTCCTGATGTTGTTGTAGATCTGCGTCTACCACTGTTCTAAAATAAACTCGTCTGGTGCGGCCGCGGCGTCTATGAGGAACTCGTGATAACACATGGCGAGGGGGAGAAGGATACGGAATAGATATATCATGGGGAGCGGGACGGTGGCTGAGGAGCTCGTTGTGGATGGTCCAAGCTTCTTCTGCATCAAGATACTCCTTTTCCAAAAGTAGAGCATGATTATGATCATCCTCGCCAACATGAGGCTGATAAGTCTCACGCTCGTCTCTACTTGCCTGGCTTCGAAAAGAACGAGCGATACAGCCAAAATGAACCAATCCGCAGTTCCAATTGTCGCAGCCGAACTTTGAAAGAGGATAAAGCGGCTCTTTGCGTCTTCCTTCGCCGCACAATGCGCAGCGATTGCTGCGAGAGTGCAGCACTGGATCCACGCCAGGTGCCGACGTCAGGTCCTCGCGTTCGTCCGATGAAAAAGGCCCCACGACGACCGGCGCAGAACTACGAAGACCACTAGACGAGAACGCGCTACTTTCTGGCGCAGCACCTTTATGTTCGTTGCTCTGACCCTGTTGAAGTCGGCTGCTCACGTCGATATGCTCATCAATTCCCTGAGGAGTCCCGTCTCTGCCATCCGCAAGACCACGTGGCGCGGGCGACGCGGTGCGTCTATCAGATTCCCTCCGACGAGAACCAAGAAAATCTCTGCTGCTTGGCCACTCCCGCGATGAGCTACTTGCTGCTGCAGTTGCCGCGATAGAGAGGAGAATCTGCCCCCAAGGCCAAGGCCGACCCCGGAAAGGGATACTAGGAGTTCCACCTCGCAGAACAAAAGGCGCCTTCGTCATTTTTTTTTTGGACGAAAATTCTCACAGCTTCTGTATTACAGCGTTTGCGTGTAAGCACGAAAGTCAACAAACAATAGATCCCGGACGAGCTTTCATATAATACTATTATTATTGTTACTATTATTATTACTATTATTGTTACTATTATTGTTACTATTATTGTTGCTATTATTGTTGTTATTATTGTTATTATTATTAATGTTATCACGGCCACACTATTATTATTGCTACTATGTTCAAACAAATAAGTCAAAGGAAGAGTAACGCTCTTGGGCTTATTATTTCAGCTGCAAGTAGCCACTAGTTGAATAAATATTAATAAATAAGCACTGAAGCGTCGAGCATGTTAATACAAGTCACTGAAAGTGGTCACATTTCGACTAGGGAAGAGGACTGAATCTGAAAGTAAAACGCCTCAGATGTCCGATTATCCTACAGTAACAGGAATTCCACCAAGTCGTAGTTCTTGTTACAGTTATATGATAAGAAAAAGAAAACAGATTACACACAACCTTCTTGGCCACCTTTTATTCTCTTGCTTCCTCTTAATCATATGTCTGACGAAAAGTGAAGGATTACGACCACATTAAAACCGCCGGCGTAGCTGCCTGTAAGAAATAATATATCGAAAAAAGTGAAGAAGAAGATGATTATAAAACGCTTCAGTTAGGTCCTTTCCTTTTGTGTGTACTAGTCTAAATTCTTACTACTTCTATATTTTGCAGGATGAAGAAATGGTCACGGTTGAACAATAATCAATAAAAAAACTGAGGCATTCATCTAAATAAATCAGCTGCTCTATGAAGATCTATTGGTGTTCTAAAATCATCTGAAATAGCAAGAAGCGGTTAGAAATATTACAGCCGAAAAAAAAAACATTCATCTCGCAAGAAAGAAGTTATTTCTTGCACATTTATCCTGCTTCCGTTTGTAGAAAGGTGATGCCGCGATCAAAGAAGGTCTGAAGCATCACTCAGCAACATGATTCAAATGCTGACTCTCGGTTTAATACAATAACCGCTTTTCGGTGCTATACTGTAAAGATCTCCTCGGCGTTCCCGTTTATTTGCATCATGGGTCTCGGCGCTTCTTACATGGAAGATCTGCGACTTTTTATTTGCATGGATATCGGCGCTTCTTACATGGAAGATCTGTGACTCTTTATTTGCATGGATGTCGGCGCTTCTTACATGGAAGATCTGTGGCTCTTTATTTGCATGGATGCGCTTCTTACATGGAAGATCTGTGACTCATTATTTGCATGGATGCGCTTCTTACATGGAAGATCTGTGACTCTGTATTTGCATGGATGCGCTTCTTACATGGAAGATCTGTGACTCTTTATTTGCATGGATGCGCTTCTTACATAGAAGATCTGTGACTCTTCATTTGCATGGATGCGCTTCTTACATAGAAGATCTGTGGCTCTTTATTTGCATGGATGCGCTTCTTACATGGAAGATCTGTGACTCTTTATCATGGAAGCTCTGTGACTCTGTATTTGCATGGATGCGCTTCTGACATGGAAGATCTGCGACTCTGTATTTGCATGGATGCGCTTCTTACATGGAAGATCTGTGACTCTGTATTTGCATGGATGCGCTTTTTACATGGAAGCTCTGTGACTCTGTATTTGCATGGATGCGCTTCTGACATGGAGGATCTGTGACTCTGTATTTGCATGGATGCGCTTCTTACATGGAAGATCTGTGACTCTGTATTTGCATGGATCTCGGCGCTCTCTGGTCAATCGCAGATCTGCGCCCGGCGCAAGAGTTACATTTGCAAGGCTTTCGACTTCCCTATTTTGCTGCGTCGCGAGCGCACTGAATCTGATACAACAGTACAACATCGAGGAAAGGGACCCGCGTCTCATGATTGATGCTAGGGCCATTCAGTTTAGCCTCTATGAAAAAAACTATTGTCTTGTGTCGTTCATGGAGCAGTCGTGTTCACAATAGTAATATTCATACGCACCGTACCTTGTTTGAAACAAGGACTTCATTTCATGATTAAGACTTGTTGTATCATAAGCATTTATAATTTCATGTTGAATAGGCAGAAAAACATCGGAAATTTTTGGTAATAAATTCTGGTAACGAGGAGTCGGTAACATATACAAGCGCATTGACCATTGTCCTTTTTGGACTCCATCATTGACAGGAGCAAGTGATTTTCATAAGTTTTAGTAACGCAGGGGAGAATGGAAATGGTAATGATAATGGACTACTTCTTCTAGTCCAATATTGAACCGATGAGTCATGTACTAAGAATCTCAAGAAGTAGGTAACCAAGAGTGTCGAGTTCCAGTCTGCAGACTGTGACTCGTGATCAGGAGCACCACAACATCTTCTATTAGAGGTAGGGTTTTGGTGGGCGCTTACCTCGTTCGCTATGCCTTTCCCCCTTGAGAAAGGCAAGACAAACGGTAACAGGAACACTTTCAAGAGCCTACCCTTAAGTAATACGAAACGGGCTTAGACACTTGGGGACGCTATTCGGGAGGCCACGTCGGAAATGATCTCCACTGTTGAAAAATGGCCTTGGTCTTTCTCATAAACATAATGTGTGTCCCTCTACTGATCACATGTCGTGTGTCCACCCACTAGAGACCACATCGTTCTACTCTAGTACTACAAGCCGAAAACGCACCAAATTCATCTAATACCACTTAAAGATACTTTCTTACATCTTCTTCGAGTGGTCTGGTGCTGGTCTGCATTTCATTTTCAGCCGAAATCTAGAACTAAAAAGCGGCTACCATAGCTCATTCATCAGTCAAAAAGCCAAGGATAATTTACGATGATCATTTTCATCAAAGTCTGGTTCTCAAGAAACTGGATGTGCGCTGCTCTTCCAATTATCGTGTCCAAGCTCTGTTCGCTGATGTGGTTAGAGAGTGAGGAATTTTTGAAAGAACTTGGAGTCTTGGTGAGTCCGCCTCCATGTCTGTATTTCGTCTAAAAAGAATACTCTGTGTCGTACGCCCCCGACTTTTGCTTGATGTAGTTGTTCTTCCACCTCATCATCGAGCCTGTTGATCAACATCATCAAGTTCATCACATTCAAGGAATTCGAATTACATGAAAAAAATCGGAATGACTTGCCATAATATGAAAATTGACGCTCAAGCGCATTAGTCGTTCGGGCGCTACACGGCCCAAAAGGTTCGAGGCCATCTCGTGAATGACTTGGGCAAACGCGTCATCTCGTTTCTGAGTCTCTTCGGAAACTTCGGCTCTGATTTTTTTAGGTTGTGGCAGGAAGGTGTTTAACATATTAGGTGTGAAGATATTATTTATAATATACGCAGTCTGCGTATTTATAAGGTTTCACAGCTCGCATGGCACGGAGTGCATGGATCACATGGAGTAGCATGGAGCTAAAGGGGGAGCTTCTTGCGCCCCTTAAAGCTCTGCGCTCCATGCACTCCATGCTACTCCATGCGCCATGCGTGCTATAAACTACTCTGATATAGGGTTTAGCCGAGACCGAGTTACAGGACTAAGACTATTAAAGCTGCTGCATGACTATAGATTGATACCTTGCAGAATCGAAGGGAGCGTATTGGTCTTGCCAGGAGGACACAAAAACGACGTGCCGGAAAAGGTTCAAGCCTGGTTGAAGAGACAGCTTGTAGAGGAAGCTCTCGCGTAAGTCGTTTGAATAATCGGACATAGAGAGCTGCTGCAAAGCTCGACTTTGTCGCCATTTCTTTAAGACCTGTAGTTCTTCGGACTGACACGGTCCACGACAACACGTCACTTATTCAGCTTGTGACGCCGTAAGACGCCGTAAGTTCTTGGAAAACGATAGTGGATTGATTAGTTATCATGCCAGCTTTTAGTTCAACTTGAAAATCAAACAGGGCTGCTTTTCCATTAGGTCTGAGACCAATCTTTTGTAGGCTGTAAATAAGTACACAGTAGTACACGAGACTTAGATTATTTGTGAGAGAATTGTAGTCCTAGCTCTAGTTGTGGTACCCACACCCCCGCTTCCACCAGTCGATTTTCGTGATACGATAGTCCGAGATGCATGGTCGAAAACGTGATGTACGAATAAAACGAATTTCCGTACTTTGGCCGTAGCAAGGGTAGTGCACTTCTTACGATCAGGCCGCCCATGGAGTGGCCAACAAAACTGAGGCGCTCCGGGACACGGCCAAGGCAATTGTCCTCTACAAAAGCATCAATTTCTTCGAAAAGCCGGATTCCCATTTCGCCGCATATTAGATTCTGCTAGCTAGGTGAGCTTAATACTGGGCAGTAAGGAAAAAATCCGAGGGAAAACGATCATTGCCAGACAATCCAATTCTTCTACAACCCAAAAGGCCTTCCATAAGATGTCTCCTTCCGTGTTGTCCTCGTTGCTGCCAGCACAAAGGAAATAAACGTCGGGAAAATGCACTACTATCTGGTTTTTCGTCATCCGTAAATCGTAAGGATTCCCATGCAAACCATGTACTAGCACCACTAGATGTGTAGTGGACTTTCTAGCAGTAGCAGCAGGATCGCTAGAAGCTGTACTACTACTTTGTTCAATAACGACCTTATTGTTGTTTCTAGTGCTGGTAGAAGTACTAGGATGATGCTCATTGTTGTTGTAGAGAGGTTGTAGTTCACTCTTCATTTCATGTCCTTTTTTGTAGCTAGTGGTGTCATGAGCAGATGATATGGATGAAGATTGCTGGTCTACTGAGTCAGGCTCTCCAGGATTGTCGCGATTCCTTTGAACATTGTGGGGCGTTTCGCGATCACTATTGTTGTTTCGTATAGGCAGGCTTTCAGCCAGCCGTTCTTCTGCGACTTCGGAGGTGGATGCATGAGTAGCATTCTCAGCGCGACGCACGGAAAAGTCTTTCTGGCCAACTTGGAGTAGTCGCGGTCCCCGGTCACCCGCAGTTGTACTACTACTACTACGTGAACAAGCAGGTGAAGATGTAGTAGCAAAAACGAAAGAAGTGCCTTTCTTTAGTCGCTGCGAGGAAGAGGAAGATGGACTATCGCCAATCAAGACGCCTCCGGGACCTAAAAGATGAAGATCATGGGAACTAGTTTTAAAGCTCAGCCTTCAATGGTCACTGACTCTGAACGGAAGGGACCCCCTTCAAAGCTCTCCCCTTTCCCTTCGTTTTCCCCCCATCTTTCCTCAAGGGAGGGTCGCCTCTTCGATCTCAGTGACCAACTCCAATGACCATTGAAAGTTGAGCCTTAATAGTTGTACTAGAAGAATTACCTCCGGATCCTGATGCTCCTGAGGATTTTTCTAGTACAACTTGCACAACAGCACTTCCGCTTTGCAGGTGTTCTTCTTCTACACGACCTTGTTGTACTAGAAGCTGTTCGTCTTCTACAAGAACGTGTTGCCGCAAGGCATCACCAGAGGAGGTCGGAGATCTTCCAGAAGCGGCGCTGAGAAGAGCAGCAGCGGCGAGATGGCTTCCACCGCCACCACGGAGGTTGTTTTTCACGGAAGGCGTGCTCCGTTCCATGTTCAGGGATGGAGAACCTAGTGGCGAACCAGGAGCGTGTGTTGTTCCGGTTGAAGGGGGTTAGAGCAGGAGCAGCAGCACCAGGTTCAAGACAATCACTCGAACTATAAAGTGATATCAATAGATACGCATCAAATAACATAAGTAGACGAGGAGAATTTGTGGGCACTAGAAGACAACACGGACAGCAAGCGTGAAAATAGACATAACATTGCAATCCCCCTGATATCGACAAAGATTTGTTCCCCGTAGCAGCAACTGGAGTAAGCACTAGTGATGACGCGTTGCCAGCACAACCTTCTTCCGCAGAAGCGCTTGTCAAATTATTGAGATGACCTCCAGATCCATTAACAACATTGAGATTGACGTTGTAAGCAGTTGGTGCTAAGACACTCCCAAGAAAGTTTCCTGTCGGAGAACGTTGTGCAACAGAAGTGTTCTTTTGCTTGCTGGGGCTAGATGAAGTAGAACCTCCTGAACCCGTGTAGCTGTGGTGGTCTTGCGCTGAAAGTAAGCTCTGAGGAGTCAAAGCCAGACACTGTTGAGAATGCTCACCTCCGATAAGTAGTTCGTCTCTTCTACCTCCTCCGGTTGCGCCAATCACTTCTGCCTCTATCAATTCCGTATCTAGATGAACTGCTGAGCCTGTGGCTGCGCTAACGGTCGTGACCTCTTGCTCTTCTTGCCCCTCATCTTCGACATGTTGGAGGAAGGGCCCTCTAGCATTAGAGCTACCGCGTTCGCATCTCTGAAAGCATCCCTGGGACCGTCTTCCCCTTGAAAGAGAGGCCACGGATAATGCTGAGGATGCTTCAGCGGTAGCCTTAACTCTAGCACCGGAAGCAGTCGCAATGCCAGAGCTGTGGTAAGTTTGTTCGAAGACTAGAGGGTTTCCTACAGAAAAAAGTGACAAATCCTCAACTTGGAACTCGCGAGGCGCAGCCGCTTGTCTCTGCGCTAGTGCGTCTCGAATCTCTGCGGCTGCACGCTCGAAGTCGAAGATTAGAAGAATGATGAATTTCAATTTCTATTTTAGGAGCACAGTGAATGATCACAACAATATTGATGTCTCTTAACAAAGGTGCTGTTCCTCTTGGCAGCCAAAGCTCTTCGGCATCCAATTCTTCTCGGAAAATCAACTTTGCCCAGTACTTGGCTATCGAAGATGCCTGCACTTGCGACAGGTTGTCGTGAATAGGATTCACGCGGTTCATAATGTCTTCGCAGAATTGTGACCACAAGTCATAGAGTGCGTCAGATGTGATTTGAGCTAGTCTAAATTCCTCCAAAAAAGGATCTGGCTGCGCCTGCGGTGATCGTGATGGGGGTTCTAGATGAACGAGGGGCTCAGGTGTTGGAGATCGTCCTAGGTCCACAAGTGGGTCTGGAGTTCCTGGTGCTAGCCTCACGTGGGACATCGAAGCTACACTAGTGAGGCCCCAACCTCTGCCTCCGTTGTGCTGAGTGATTTCGTCAGGAGGTGCAGGTGCAGGTAGAGTATCCTTCCTGGAGGATGAAGAAGAACTATCACAGTGGTCTTGTTCATGTTTTACAACTCCTGGTATGCGGCCTGTACTGAAAGACAAATTGTTCTTGGTGTAGTTCCTCTGATGTTGGTGTAGTTGACTAGTCCGTGTTCGCGCTGCACCACCTGCATGCTCAACACTTCCTCCACCCCCATCCACCTCGGCAAAATTCTCCATTGATGACACTCTCCTTCTACTTCTCCTCAAAGTCTCTAAAATCCTAATCTCCCTTCTCCTCAGAGCAGCTTCTGCATTGGCATATTCTTGTTCTAATGCCGACGCAACGAGTCCAACTCCTCCTCCAAATCTCTGACAAGCATGTCGTAACGTGGCTAGAGAGCTCAGCAAATTGCCTTGGAGGTATTGCAAGTCTCCTGCCTGCGTGCAGAGGTTTTTGCGTTCTGCACTAATCATGCGAGACGGATCATCGAACGGATGTAAAGATGGGATCAGAGATCCAGTACCAGTAGGAGTAGCATCCGGGACGTAGCCCGGCCCACCGCCTGGAGGTGGTTCAAGCATACTGATTCTTAGCGCAAGACCTAATAAAAAAGCTTCCAATCTGTATGCGCTGGTGGGTCTTCTTCCTCTTCGCGTTACATTTTCATCATTCCTCAAAAAAAATGTCGTAAGTAGTTCTTTGTAGATCTTCTTCTAATTCAAATTCTAAGTCCTAAAAAATGATGCTTGTGCTTCTAAAAGCACTCACAGCGACACCTTGTTACTGTTCCGACTAAAAAATCTGCCCCTTAACATAATGCCCGGATCATCGATGTCCCAGTTGTTGACTTTTTCAATCTTCGCACTGGTTGACGTTGTAGCCTTCGTAGCCACCTTTTGCTGTTGTGGCATCATAAATCCAGTCTGCAATTGGGAAAAGTCACTGCAGGCAACATTCACATGATCACCATACTGCTCATCTAGTAGCAAAGGCGGGCCACCGCAGTCTGCTAACGCTGTATGCGACTGAGAAGATGGATCAAGATGTCGCATCAGCAGGTCTTGGGCTGGCGCCAGGAAGTTTTCTTCATCATCCACTCTAGTCATGCCACCATCTACATCTTGATGTCCCTCCTTAGAAGCTGCTCCATCTGAGGAAGCTGTCGAGTCATCGTCGTCTAGAAGATCGTGGTCATAGGGGTAAATATGCTCTTTAAGCTCCTCGTCATCCATCGCATATCTAGGTTCTTCTTCTGATCCAGCCCCAGCGGAACTAAAAAAGGCGATTTTACGACCTAAAAAAGCTCTTTTGGTTTTGCCATGTAGTAGTCCTGCTCCATGCGGCAATTTTGACGACGAGGAATTCAGTTTTCTTGTTCCTATTGCACAACTAGCCGACGATGTCACAGCACGCAAATCCTCTTCGTCTTCACTATTTGAACCGCCGCCCGTTGTTGTTGAAGTTTTTGAGTCTACCCCGTTACCGCTCGACGACTTATTTGCGTTGACGTTGTTGACTATTGCAGCAGTTGACAAAAAACTTGTTGTCTTATTGGAAGATGATGCGCTAGCACCACTACTTGATACGTGTGTTCCTCCACGTGCTGTTGTTGATCGATTCGACAACGTCCTACGTCCTTTAGACACTCGACTTGGGTCCTTCATCCTGCTGTCCACACCAAGAACATTTGACAAACTATCTCCTCCTGCCACCTGAAGACTCGTCAGCTCCTCGAGCAACTGTTCTCTCGCTTCTGCTGCCGCGGTCGCATCCATCAAAACGCCTAATGGTCGGATGCGGCGTCGCACATCTAAGGTGGCTGAATGGATGTGCATTTTGAGGAAACTGAAGTGGAATTCGTCAAAGAGGACAGGAACGTACTCGTGGATGCCGCAGGAGGGAAAATTAGAGATAAGCCGAAGAGATGTTTTTTTCAAATAGAACATTTTTGAACAGGATTTTTTTGTACTTCTAGCTATGAAGTAGATTTACTCCGCCGCTGAGGTACATTTCATGGTCGTGCCACATCGATCTTAAGACAGAGTAGAAAAATTTGAAATTGATTCATTCATTCATTCATGTACCTAGTCGTGAGGTATGGGTCATGTCCTGAATGACCAGATACATAATCTGATGCAGGATGAATTTCCTTCGGCTCGCACTCTTGAACTCGCATTCGTGCACTATGCGGTCCAAATTTTCGACCTCAGGCCCACCCAACGCAGTCAGGTCCGCGAAGAGAAGCTCGACCTCGAGAATGACCTCTCCTTCGTGAAGATCATCGTCGTCGTCTTCATCTTCTTCGGGATAATCGTTCAGATTGCCATTGATGTCCTGGTCATCCTCCGCGTTTTGTCCCTCCACCTGGTGGTCTTCGGAAGCCGATCGCGATCTCCTCACTACATTATTATTAAGGTTAAGGACACCTTCTTGTTCTTCCACAGATGAACCTCCTCGGCCAACAGGAGCATGTTCGTTGTTATTCTCGACCGCCGCTGGATAATTATCTTCGCTATAGCACCTACTCTCACTCCTCGACGATCGCTCAGCCAAAGACGTCGGCTCCTTCGAATCCCATGCAGCCCCTGATTCACCTTCCAATCGATTTACATTTGCTCCACCTCCACTAGCGCCTCTGCTTCTCTTGATCCTCTTAGAAGTGCTGCCACAAGATGAAATGGGCTGTTGTTGCTCAATCCGGAAAACTACGCCTTCGTTGAGCTCTACCTCTTCCTCGCAGTAGCGAATCAAAAACGCTCTAGAAAGGTAGCTCCCGTACTCGTGAATGCCAGTGCAGATTTGGGATGGCAGTGTCACTTTCTCCACGTCACTGACGCCGCCGTCTAACAGTCGTACACAGGTAGCGTATGAGACGACTCCGGGACAGGGTTCCTGGTGTTGAGATGGATTCAGGTCGACAGTTACAAAGTGAGCACTACACTACAAGAACTGCGCCAAAGGATCACTTTTCAGTACGAGGCGCCGCTCTTGTAGTGTAGTGCTCACTTTGTAACTGTTCTGAGTGTGCTACCCTAGTACAAGAAAAAGCAACGAGCCAAGCACTTGTTCACGTTTCAGTGCTCGGTTACATGTACAACTTGTTGAACTTGATACAAGAAATGGATGCATATAGATACATAGTTAAGTAATAAAAGGCCTGTCCTGAAAGGAACGTGAAGATTGGTACCTGGTAAGCAATCGCATGCAATCGGTACAAACCTTGGTGAAAGAGGTCTACATTGCGGAAGTCCTTGAGATGCAAAGCTATCTCTGTGACGGAGACCAGCGACATTTTTGGTGGAGACTACAGCGTTATCTGCAGCGAGTTATTTACTTCTCCCTCACGCGCATCTGTTGCCTCCGCAACCTCGTTTTAGGTCGAGTAAAACTTTATCTCTTTGAGACCCCCACGAGCCCCTGCTTGTTGTTGATGAAGCAATACAATACAATTTATCTCGCACAACGTACAGCGCAGACTGCCTACCGGCGTCATAGAGTTACGTCACGACGAAGCCTCACGCGGGGTTATACTACTGAAAACGAATAGAAGCGACAAGTATCTGAACTAGCACTACGTTGAAAATGTAAATTCCTCTACAACAGTTAGTGTAGTCAGTTAACACAAGTCCATCTCCACTCATGTTCTCTTGACCGGTTGTGGATCACTCCTGCGGGACACTCCGTGTAAGGTCTCAACAGGTCACACACCGACTATGAGTCTCGAAGTGCAAGATTGTTGTCCAGAGGGAGTATGCTTGGCTTTCGGAAGCACCAGAACATAACGAGCACTCGGCAGACAGCGAGCCATCTGCACGCATTTCTGATGAGATGAGAGGGGGCAGTGTCAGTGAGTGGCGGCCTCTCCTGCTGCGCAATTTGTATATATAATCTATCAATGATGCGTAAAAAATATCTTCAGGTACGATATGCGTTGAAACCGGTATCACGTGGAAATCAAGAACTGAAATATAGCTGAGCTGTACTTTTTTTTGGCTGGCAACAGCAGCTGCATGTTGCAAGTACTAGCATTGTTCCTCCTTCTACTCCTAGTGCGATGAGTCATGTGCGTGTTCATGAGTTACTACTTAAACGATTCCTCGTTGTTCATAGTTCCATCAAACTTAATATGGGGACCAGGTGGATAAGGGGTGAATAAGAATAAAATTAAGTAAGTGTAGTTGAGGTTTAAGTTGTAGTCCACAAGAATAAAAATATAAAAATTAGCAACTTTTCTATTACTTAATCTATTATTAAGCTATAATTTTTCATCTTTCTAAGGTGCAAAAACTGTAACGCGCGCGCGCGCGTTACGCGCGCGGGTTACGCGCGCGCGCGCGTTACGCGCGCGCGTTATAACGCGTTACGCGCGCGCGCGTTACGCGCGAAATAAGGCGCGCGCGTTACATGCGCGCGGCGCGCGCGCGTAACGCGCGCG